TGATAAAAGTTAAGACTAGTTTTCGAAGGCCCATGTCAGACCTGATCTTAGGATACAGAACATGGAAGTTGTTAGAGTCCGAATCAGTGGTGTCTGCTCAGGGGAGCCAAAAGTGGTGGCTTGGTTAGGGTTGGAGGCTAATAGGAATCAGTGAGCAACTAATAACCGAAGGCACCATTTGTAGAAGCATGTGTGGGCTTTACCTTAGTGCATGGAAGGAGCAGATAGCTCCTGATACTGCCCCCTGCTGGGGGATGAGATTCAGCATAAAGACAGAGGAGGTGGGCTGTGGCAAAGCCCTTTATTGGACTCCCCACTGAGCAGGGAGTCCGATGCGGGGTTCCATCCCAGGACCCTGGGATCTTGACCTGAGCAGAAGACAGATGCTTAACCATCTTAGTATATGTGCTGCCGAAGCGAGCACAAGATGCTTAACCATCTTAAAAACATATTTTTAAGATTTTGTTAGCACCGGTGGAGCAAATGGAATTGAAAAATAGGAGATTGGTTCCCTTCTTTCTCTTACTCTTCTCAGGTTAGCCCAAGGAGCATTGCTAGCTCAGGATTGTAGGAAAAGGTTGGAAGGCTATGCTTTTTCTGCATAATAAAGGTATGAAAGATTCAAACTCAGACCTTTGTTTACCAAGGGGTAGAAAGTAGTTACTTAGTGCAACAAGTAGGGCCTTCTCTGTCAGTCCTACCCTTCAGGCTATCCAGGTTGGCAGAGTTAAACTAAGGGGGCAAACGGGTTGCTATCTTTAGATCCCTCAAGGGCTACCAGTGGGAAGAAGCAGCTTAGTGCTTATGGTTTTACACAGTCCTGGCTTTGTTCACTTACTTAGCTTATTTCTTGGTATGGGGACAAGTCGTTAAAAGTTTTTTTTAAATTTTAATGTAATACATATGGCATAATTTGCCATTTAAGTGTACAGTTTGGTGGCATTAATTACATACACAATGTTGTAGTGCGTTCATCACCAATATTCTTTGGATGTTCCGTCCCAGACAGCTATAACCCATTAAGCAATAACTTCCCATTCCTCTTTACTTCCAGCCCTTGGTAACTTCTATTTTCTGTGTGTATGAGTTTGTCTATTCTAGATATTTCATGTAAGTGAAATCATAACAATATTTGTCCATTTGTGTTTGGTTTCTTTCACTTAGCATAATGGATTCAAGGTTGTCAAGGTTCATGCTTCAGTGGGTATCAAAACTTCATTTTTTTTTTTTAAAGATTTTATTTATTTATTTGAGAGAGAGAATGAGAGACAGAGAGCATGAGAGGGAGGAGGGTCAGAGGGAGAAGCAGACTCCCCGCCGAGCAGGGAGCCCGATGCGGGACTCGATCCCGGGACTCCAGGATCATGACCTGAGCCGAAGGCAGTCGCCCAACCAACTGAGCCACCCAGGCGCCCTCAAAACTTCATTTTTTAAAAGCTGAATGATATTCCATTTTATGTATATATCATTTTGTGTATTCATCTGTTGATGAACACAGGATTGTTTTCACCTTTTGGCTATTGTGAATAATGCTGGAATAATGGTAAGCAGGTGTCTGGATCTTTGTTTCCAATTATTTTGGGTATTTACATTAGAAATGTAATTGCCGGGTCATGTAATTCTGTTTAGCTTCTTCAGGAACTACCAAACTGTTTCCTACAGCAGGTGTACCATTTCACATTCCCACCAGCAATGCTAAATGTTCCTTTACAACCTTGCCAACACTTTTTTTTTTTTAATACTCTATATCCTGGTGGGTGTGAAGAGGTGTCTTTGTGCTTTTGATTTGCATGTCTGTAATGACTAGTGACAGTGAGCATATTTTTATATGCTTATTGACCATCTTGTGTTCTCTTCGGAGAAATGTCTGCTCAGGTCCTTTGACCATTTTGAACTGGGTTGTCTTTTTTTTTTTTAAAGATTGTATTCATTTGAGAGTGAGAGCACAAGAGTGGGGTGATGAGTAGAGGGAGAAGCGACTCCCCACTGAGCAGGGAGCCCGATGCTGGGCTCAATCTCGCGACTCCAGGATCATGACCTGAGTTAAAGGCAGATGCTTAACCTGAGCCACCCTTGCGCCCTTGGGTTGTCTTTTTGTTGAATTGTGGGAGTTTTTTTGTACATTTTGGTTGTTAATCCCTCCTCAGATATTCGACGTGTAAATACTTCCTCCCAATTCTGTGTGTTAACTCTTTGAAAGTGTCCTTTGTACAAAAGTTCTTAATTTTGATCAAGTCCAATTTAACTGTTTATTATTGAATACATTTCCAAATCCAAGGTCATGAAATTTTTTATTTTTTAAGATTTATTTAAAGATATTTTTATTTTTATTTGACAGACACAGCGAGAGAGGGAACACAAGTGGGGGAGTGGGAGAGGGAGAAGCAGGCCTCCTGCTGAGCAGGGAGCCCAATGTGGGGCCCGACCCTGGGACCATGAGCTGAGCTGAAGGCAAACGCCCAACGACTGACCCACCCAGGCGCTCATGATTTATTTTAGAGAGTACAGAGGGGAGGGGCAGACGGAGATAGGGGGGAGAGAATCTCAAGCAGACCCCTGTTCAGTGTAGGGGTCCCATCCTAAGACCTAGGAGATTATGACCTGAGCTGAAACCAAGAGTTGGCAGCTCAGCTGAGCCACCCAGGTGCCCCCGAGTTAATTTTTCGTATGTGGTGTGAAGTAGGGGTCTACTTCATTCTGGTTACATGTGGAAATCCAGCTGGTCCTAGCACCATTTGTTGAAGAGCATTTAAGGTTTTTTTTTTAAAATACGTATGTATGGGCGCCTGGGTGGCTCAGTTGGTTAAGCGACTGCCTTCGGCTCAGGTCATGATCCTGGAGTCCCGGGATCGAGTCCCACATCGGGCTCCCTGCTCAGCAGGGAGTCTGCTTCTCCCTCTGACCCTCTTCCCTCTCGTGCTCTCTATTTCTCATTCTCTCTCTCTCAAATAAATAAATAAAATCTTTAAAAAAAAAATAAAAAAACGTATGTAAATCATACATAAAATTACTGAGGAAATATAAATGCCCATTCACCCACCTATCTACTGTTAACAAATTTTGATAGTTGTGTTGCCATATATATTTTAGACAGATTATTTCTAGAACAAAGCTTATAATTGAAGCTGTTACTCCTTAAATTTCAGGTGCTACATGAACAAATTTAGGTGTAATAGTATTAGGGCTGTGGTGAGGATTAAATAACATTTATAGTTAGCCTTGCACTAAAAGACTTGAAGGATCTCAGACTGTAGCATAGGCTTCCTGGTTCCAGAGTGTTCAGCCTTTTAAGGTATCAGATTTGGTTTTGAGCCCTTTGTCCGTTTGTCTCCCATTTGTTCATGGGAGGAAGGTGGAGCTCACCACTGAGCAGGTTATTGATTTAATACTTTTCTCTTGCAGTGTGCCCAGCTGGCTGGAAGCCTGGCAGTGATACCATCAAGCCTGATGTCCAGAAGAGCAAAGAATATTTCTCTAAGCAGAAGTGAGCGCCGGGTCGTTTTAGGGCTGGGCTGCAGTGGGTGGCCATGAAAACAAAATCTCTCTTGTATTATTGTCACGCTTAGAACATAAGACTTTAGACTGTGCAGATGTGGTATGGGGACAGGACAGGCCTTTTCTGCAGGGGTTGGGGAGGCCAGCCTTTCTTTTCTGGAGAGAAGGGCCTGAGCTGTTATGGGGCAGGCCAACTGTATGTACAGTAGCAGGGCATCACGTTTTGTCTTTTGTTTCTATTAAACTTGAACCGAGACCTTGTTGAGTCTTCATTTTGCTCGGCGGGGGGGGGGGGGGATACTAGGCTTTTGATTTTGAGAGGAATTTATGCTCTGCTTTCTTTTTTTAGGAGAAAATGAGGGTGAGAGCTGCCTTAGAATCAGAAAATTGCATTGGGGGCAGGGGGATATGCAAGTAGACACAGGAAAGGGAACTTGAACCAAGGTGGTAATTTCACTATATCTGGGGGAGAAAGCAAGACCTGCAGTAATGTTGGCTAAAGCATTGCAATCTGTGCTATATAGGTTAAAGCATAAATTGCAGGCTTTAGATTCAGGCCCCATGAGATTATCTGGACATTTACCTTTACACTCCTGGGAGTGCTATGTGAGAACTTGAAGCTTTGGTCTCTTACGATAAATGCCTGCCTGGTACTGGCTTTGTAAAAAGATCAGAAGTAGGGCACCTGGGTGGCTCAGTTGGTTAGGCGACTGCCTTCGGCTCAGGTCATGATCCTGGAGTCCCGGGATCGAGTCCCACACCGGGCTCCCTGGTCAGCGGGGAGTCTGCTTCTCCCTCTGACCCTCTTCCCTCTTGTGCTCTCTCTCATTCTTTCTCTCTCAAATAAATATAAAAAAAAAAAAAAAAAAAACACAGTGCTGGGGCGCCTGGGTGGCTCGGTCAGTTAGGCGTCTGTCTTGGCTCCGGTCACGATCCCAGGGTCTTGGGATCGAGCCCCATGTCAGGCTCCTTGCTCATGCTAACGCACTTGCTCGCTCTCAAAATCTTAAGATTTTATTTGACAGGGAGAGCAGGAACACAAACGGAGAGTGGGAGAGGGAGAATCAGGGTCCTCGCCAAGCAGGGAGCCCCATGCGGGGCTCGATCCCTGTACCCTGGGATCATGATATGAGCCCAAGGCAGACACTTAACGACTGAGCCACCAGGTGCCCCTCAAAATGTTTAAAATAGAAAAAACAGTGCTGAGCACTTCTTGGCTTCCTTGGATCCTAGCCTTGATTTGAAGGTGGTTCTTTTTTGGCCCTCACTGATCTCGTCCTGAGGAGTGAGGGATGTCTGGGGAGAAGGTGGGTGCCTCCTGAGCCCTTGAGGCTATGAAGATTCAGAACTCTTGTCGTGTATTCTGTGCTCTCCCAGACACCTGTCAGGTACTCCAGCCTATTCCCCACCCCTTGAAGCAAGACCTCTGAGCAGCAGTACAGGATTCCCAGGGCTTTGAATGACAACGGACACCACTTGAATAAGCCAGGCATTGTTTTCAGAAGTGCTTTCCATGTGTTTATTAATTACCCACAAGCCTATGAGGCAGATGGCATTAGGGGATGATTTCCCCTTTAGAAAGGCTTTGTAACAATTAGCGTCTTAGAGCACTGCAGAGAAATGCTAATAGGAATAATCCCGTGTTCCAAGCCAGGTGGGAATTCTGGATCTGTCTGTTTTGACAAGATCCTTCACTGAAGATCTATCTCTACTAGAATTCTTTTATCAAGAATAAATATATCCAAAATAAAATCTCTTGCCTTGCCAAAAAGCAAAACGAGTCCCAGCAAGTACGGGAGGGAGGATATCAGGGGCTAGGGGATGCGGGTGGTGAGACACTGGGGCTGAGCCAGCCCTGGGCTCTGCTGGGATTCTGGGGCTTTTTGGGTCTGAGTGTTGTAAAAGGTAGCTCAGGAGATGTAGAGCTAGGATCCTCTGAGGGCTGGGCCAAGCCCAAGAAGGCTAAACGTTGGGCAGGTGGAGTAGAAAAGTAGGCCTTCTGCTCTTCTGAGTAGCGCTCCTGTGGTGTCACAGCATCTCGGTAGGTCCAGTCACGCCAATGGAAATTAAACCCTTCAAGCAAGGTGATTCGGTCAGCTCTCTTAGGTACACAGTCCAGGGGCTTTGTGGGTGTCAGATCTGGCACCTCTATTCCTGGCAGTAGCACCACTCCTCTGATGGCAAACCAGCCCCCATATCGGGGGTGTATGCACACACCTGATATGTGCTGGGAGAGGGTAAAGAAAGGCAAGGTCATGGAGGTCACTGGGCACTAGGTCCAACTACCATCATTGCAGACTAGGCTTGTTCAATTCTCAAAGGACACTGACTCTATATTTGAACTACTCTTGTACCTGGGCTCCCCCATTTCCTCTCCTGGACAACCCTTTTCATGAGCTTACTCTGGCCGGACGGAGAGTTCCTTAAACAGCCTCCATCAACTTCCCAGTCTTCACCACTGGTCTCCTAATCACTGCTCTGCCCCCTCCATCCTGTAACTAGATTTTAAGAACAGACTAGGTTCTCTGACCTCAACTGTTCCCAGGTAGACTCCAGAAAGCATGTAGGGTTGGGCTCCTGACCTGACATCCTGACACCAATACCTGACATCGTTCCCTGGTGGTGTGTCTACCAAATCCTTTACTACACAGGGGAGGTGGAAGATGTTAGTTGGTATCTTGAGGGGCCTTCACTATTTTCTCCCAGTCCTACTCATTCATACTTGCCCTCTAACCTGGTCCCCCCAGGGGTCAGCCTCCACATCCTTTCGTTGGTAGTAATAAGCAGCCCCTGCCACGTGTGCTGCAGTCTGGGCCAGAATCTTGGGGCGCCGATTGGGGTGTACCTCGTAGTCAGCGATGACTTCGATTTGCAACTCTGGGAGGTTCTGGGATAGAGATGGAAGCTCATTTCAGTACGAAAGGAATCATGACTTTGCTCCAGAGAGCTCTAATATTAACAAGACCCTGTCCTCAGAAATCATTTGAAGGGAAAACATGACCTTAAATTTGGGGGTGCGGGGGTCCACTGTGAAGAAAATGATCTGTCCAGGAGGGCCCATGTTTGAAGAGAAATAAGGTCTTGCTCAGAAGCTTCTATGATGAGGGGCTGGGGCACATAGGTGGTGCAGTCAGTTGAGTGTCAGACTCTTGATTTTGGCTCAGGTCTCTCGGGGGCTAGAGATTGAGCCCTCTGTGTCAGGCTCGACCCTCAGCACAGAGACTGCCTAAGACTCCCTCTGCCCCTCCTTGAGCACTCTTATTTTTTTTGGGCGCCTGGGTGGTTCAGTTGGTTGAGCGACTGCCTTCGGCTCAGGTCATGATCCTGGAGTCCCAGGATCGAGTCCCACATCGGCTCCCTGCTCAGCAGGGAGTCTGCTTCTCCCTCTGACCCTCTTCCCTCTTGTGCTCTCTATCTCTCATTCTCTCTCTCTCAAATAAATAAAATCTTAAAAGAAAAACAAAAAAAATTTTTTAAAAGATTTTATTTATTTGACAGAGACATAGTGAGATGGAACACAAGCAGGGGGAGTGGGAGAGGGAGAAGCAGGCCTCCCGCTGAGCAGGGAGCCCGACGTGGGGCTTGATCCCAGGACCCTGAGATCATGACCTGAGCCGAAGGCAGACGCTCAACGACTGAGCCACCCAGGCGCCCCCCTCTCTAAATAAATCTTAAAAAAAATTTATTATAAGGGGTGACTCGTCTCTGCCTTCCAGAGTCCCAGTGTGGAGGAAGACCTGGCGCAGCTTTGGGGAGATCCAATGTATGTGTATGCATTTTATGTGTATGTGTGTGTAGTGGGGAAATACTGTTCTGTCCTCAAAAGGGCCTGAAGACAGCACAAAACTTCCAGTCTAGGGCTAAGACAGGTGAGAGATGCTTAGAGGATGCTGGGCTTATTCCTATTTCACGTGGAGGCCAAGGGAAGTCTGGTTTGAGGTTCATATAATTAATTGCCCATCAGAGTAGGGTGAGTGAGATTTATTCCAGACCTGGTGGGCTGCTAGAGGAAGGAAGCTGAAACTGCGGTAAGATAAAGCAGCATGGGGAGAGATCAAAATGTCAGGGATGGCTTTAGGATATCCTATCTGGGAAGTGGCTCTTGGCTCTACGTAGGTCTAGTCCTGCACTGAGCTTAAAAGAGCTGGAAGCAGCTACAGGCTTGGAAGCTGGGGGAATATATGAGCCCTGCTCACCTCTCTAACGCGGCCCAAGTGGTAGGCCACACACTGGTCCACAGGGTCAATCAGTTGTTGGAGGCGGCAGCTCTGCAGGAAGGGTTTGAGGGCCCGGTCAAACATGGCAGGTGTGCTGAGTACCAAGAAGGCCAGGGTAGGTCCTGGCAGGGGTAGGTGGAAAGTTGGAGGCAGGAGTGCATTATACCATGCCACCTGGAACAGAGAAAATTCAGCCCCACAAGAGGGCCAACTTAGACCTTTGCTAGGCTCATACCTTATCCTACCATTCAAGGCCTCCTACATCTTGCCTTAGTCTCCATCTCATTCATTCATTCAGTGGATTTGTACTGATGCTGCATGATGTATATTTATGGGGGACTTCTCCATGGGGGAATTTGACAGGGAATTTGGAATAGAAAAGCAGAGAATTCATGAACTAAGAACCAAAAGAAATTATAGTGTGATTAGTGCAATGACAGGGCCAAATGAGGGTCCTGTAAAATTAGAAAAGGCTTCTTGGAAGCTGTTTTGAAGGCTAGGAAGGAATCTGACAGATGATGTGAGGAGGAAGATTCCATTATGCATTATAAATAGAGGTGACAGCATTAACAAAGACATGCAAAAAGCTCATATTTGGAAAACAGCAAATTGTCCAGTTTGATAGAAGTGAACGGTTTGTAAAGGGAAGCTGGAGAGGGGTGGAGATCAGTAGGTTTGAGATTATGACTGGCCTAGAATACCAATTTAAGGAATATGGGTCTAATTTGGTGACAAGGGCCTAGCCATCGAAGATTTAAGGAGTAAACCGACATCATCAGTTTTAGAAAGATGTGGCTGCAGTGTGGAGGATGGATTGCATACACAATCATAGCAAGCAGGTTACTGCAGTAATCCAAGTGAGGAATACTGGCCTGGACCAGAGCATAGAGGGGCTAAAAGGAAGGGAATGGATTTGGGAGATTCAGGTAACAGATTCCTAAAGGGTTTGGTGTCTAACTGGATATGGGGGAGGGAAGGGATGAGAAGTAGGAGCCCAGGATGACTGGCTCTGTTCAGTACAATAACTCTCATTACCCACCCAGGTCTACCTGACCCACCCGTCATTCTCACTCTCTCCATACCTGCCATCCATCACTACCTCCACACCTTTACTCAAGCTGTTCCTGATATTTGGGCTGTACATAATCCTCTTTCCTTCTTTTCACATGAAGCTCAACTCCATTTTTTCTGGCTAGTCCTTCTTAAGCTAGAACCAACCTACCTCTCTTCCTCCATATTCTTTTCCAGCACTGCTGTGGGCCACTCAGTGGAAGGGGTGGAAATGGGCTGTCTCTTAAGCATCAGGCAAAGGGCTCAAGCTGAGTTGATTTAGCTTTGTCCAAGCACACAGCTCAGTACAGGGGGTACTGGATAAGGGGGAAATGGATCTATGTAAACAAGGGTAGGTGGTGCCAGACTTCTGTGTCAGGCAAGTGCACAGTTTCTGTATCCAGCCCAGCCCTGGTGATTGGTAATATCATGAATTATCCTTCTGTTGGTAGATGGAACAAACCAGCCAATTGTTCGCTTGTTCAACAACGGGAATGCCCTTCCCTTCTCAGATGGCCTAAATATTAGCTACGCAAACCTTCCAGGCCTTGCCCTATCCTAATTCCTTTAGAAAGCTTCTAAAGTGACTGGCTCCAGGGGTCACTTTCTTCCTCGGAATTATGGAGGTGGCAGAGCCACAAGATTACTGGATTATGTTTCTCCCATTCATCAATATGGCATTATATGGGGGTAAAAAGACAAACGTGCGACCGTTTCTCTACTTTTTTTTAACAAAGTCGCCGTTGACACCCTGTCCCGATAGGTCAGAGGGACATGGGGCCAGAGGAGCTCGGGAAGGACCAGAAGACTGGGGCTCCACTTCAGTAGCACCCAGGCCAATCATACATCTCGCCCAGCACCGCAGGAGGCATAAACCAACCTGAAATGGGTAAACCTCGAAGCCAAAAGGGCACAACGTGTCCTCCATCGTCCGCTTCAGTTCTGCGACTTGCGGCTCCATAGCGCACGCTACGCGCAGAGCTTTCTGGGGAATGGAGTCTCAAGGATAACCTGGTCCGTTAAGTTTCAAGGTAGCTCGGACTCCATTTCCCAAGAACTACTGGGACCAGCAGCGGGATGGCCTTGACTCGGTGCCATGCATCTTGGGATATGTAGTTCACTTGGTCCTCGACGACAACAACTACAGAATTCGAAAGCCTCAGTTTCCCGGCAAGCTTCACGGTGGGGGTTTGCATGTTCGTGTCACTTCCAGGGCAACGTAGTTAGGCAGCCTCCATCGCCGGTTGTCTCTGCGAGAGACGAACTCGGTTTGAGCTAGTGGCGCTGCGGCTGCAAATCCGAAGTCGGACTTTCCCGGTCTATAAGGAGGGTTTCAACCGAGTGGCGGCTGTACTCGCTGGCACATGTTCTGCGAGATGACGCCTGTGTCTTGAATCTGGAGAGGTCTCGACCAAGATTTGGCACTCTCAACTCCCACCTGATATCTGCGTATCAGAGTATCTCGCTTTTCCCCTACTTTCCCCAAGCGCTGTTCCCCTGACTAGTCCCAGTTTTGGCCTGATACTGCATCCCTACCTTTAGGATTACATCCCCGATTCCCATTCTCTATCTGACGTGTGGCTTTATTGGGCTGTACCTCGGGTATTCCGGGCTGGGAAAGCAAGGACACAAGACACCAGGAGGCAGCCTCGCAGAAGGTTATGAGTAGGAGCCTGAGCTGGTCTGAGCACCTCGACGCACTTCTCAATGCTACTGATGGGAATGTGGCCAGGATTAAGGTGAGGGGGCGCCTAAGGGCCCCCATTTGGAGTTTTGGGTTTAGGGACACTCAGAGCTTATTGTCCTGTGCACTTGTTTCTTTTGTAGCAGCGGCTGTATCCTCTGGGAGTCTCCACAGCAGGTAAGTGTTGCCCCTTTTCTATCCTCCAGCCTTTTCTCTTTCCAGGATCTGCCTTTTTCCAGTGCCTGTACCATCCACTATTCCTTCCAAATTCCAACTGTTTTCTTTCTTGAACAAACATCTGTTTTTCCCCCCCAAAGATAGCCCTCACAATTGTCCCTTACTTATTCCCTCAACAGGAGACCTGGTTGGGACCTGGATTTCCCCTCATCACTTGCCTCCACAGTCTGGTGTCCAAGCTCGACAGCCTTGGGCTCTAGAGACTCCCTTTGTTCCAGAGAGGCTGAGTTGGGCTGAGGCCCAAAGAGCAGCTTCTCTCTGGGATGAAGTTACTATTCTTCGATCCCAGCTTCAATCCCAGGCTCAGGTAAAACGCGCACTCCTAGGTTTTATGTGTGGTGTTTGTGTGATATGAGGATATCAGGGGTTGGGGAAACCCTTTACACAATAGCTCATGTGGTTTTTCTTGCCTGGGTAGGTGACTGAGGCACTAAGACAGTCTGTGCAGGGGCTGCTGGAAGACCGAGAGCAGCAGAAATACCAGATCTGTGCCCTGGAAGGTATCTGGCCAGTTCTTTTTTTCATACGCATAGCTCATTATGTACACACACGATTTTGTTACCCACCTCCTGTGCACTTACTTGTGTCTTGATTTGCAAGGGGAGTGTCTAGGCTCATGTGTAAAACTCTCAGAAGGGCTGACGCTCAACTTGTCTCACTACAGCATCACTAAGGTTGCTGCAGGGAGGCCCAGAGCGGAGGGCCCTCCTCCTGGAGCAACGCCTGGAGGGGCTGAGAAGGGAACTGCAGGGCCTTCGAAGCCAGGTGCAGGAACAGGCCCAAGCCCAAATACAAACAGGACCACGAAAGTGCAGTGCTTCTAGTGGCCTTCACCAAGAGCTGCAGAATGAGTATGTGATGGGCAAGTTCTCTCCTCCTTCAGGCCTCTAACTCCTGGTAGTGTCCTCTGGGCTTGTTGATGGGCTTTAGGTTAACACAGCTGTCAGCAACTCCTGTGGGAGGAGTCAGAGATTCCTTGGGAGGAGCTGAAGCTGCTGTGGGACGAGCTGAGTAAGTAAAAGATGGGGGGTGGGTACAAATTCACCTGTTCTCTTTTCTGGAGAGTCTTTTTGCTATCCCAGTAAGTGGCCGTAGCTCTGATTGCTTGAGCTGCTCTGAAGTCTGGCCAAGTGTTTTGTCTTACCTCCATGGTGTGAGTCCAGTCTCCCCAGTCAGCTTGGAAGCTTCCCAATAGCTACACCAGAATGCTCTGTCTCAGTTGTCAGCACCAGGCTGGGCACAAGGCGGGGAGGGGAAAGGAAAGTTGGAGAATAGCTTCCTTACATTTTTCTCTCATCTGAAGGCCAGCACCAGGAGCTGCTGCTGAAGCAGATGGCTGAGGGGCAGCAAGCTCAGGCCCACAGCCAGAAGGTAGGACTAGGATCAGACCTGTCTCTTCATATCTCCCTGTGGAGGCCCCTTCCTTTCTTCTCTGCCTTTTCTGTTCTGCAGGTAGGCAGGATAATCTTTTCCATCCCTATCTGTTCCTCTCTTGCCTGTGGTGACTCTACCTCCCTCCCAAGCTCTTCTTCCCAAGCTCACTTCTCCAGGTTGAGAAACTGCCATTGCCCATATGAGAGTTCCATGTGTGCTGAATATGCCAGTGGTGGGGAGAGGGATTCCTCCTGCAGAGGGAGAGATTTGGTCCTACTGGTTCTGTGGTCTGGCAGATGTTGGTGCAGTTCCAAAGTGGCCAGGAGGGCAAGGGTCACACCCTGGAGGCTGCCAGGACAGAGGCACAGGATGCCCGGCGTGAACACAACCTCCACAGGTCAGAGGTTGCGGGTGCTTATGGCAGTGGAAGGGATTTGTCTCAGAGGCCAGGCATTGGGGACCAAAGTTCAGCTGTCCTAGATTTTTTAAAAAGATTTTACTTATTTGAGAGAGAATGAGAGAGAGAGAGAGTGTGAGCAGGGGGAGGGGCAAAGGGAGAGAGAGAATCTCAAGCAGACTCCGCACTGAGTGCAGAGCCCAGTGTGGGTCTTGATCCCACAACCCTGAGATCATGACCTGAGGTGAAATCAAGAGTTGGACGCTCAACCAACTGAGCCATTCAGGTGCCCCTCAACTATCCTAGATTTGACATGGTTTGGTAGGGTGGTATGAGTATCTAGATTACAGCCCATAAAGGTAGTACTGGGCATTCTTTATTTGATACAGGGTCACTGAGGTATGTTCAGAGGATGAAGAGGGAGGAGACTGGAGTCCTGGCCTCAGGATGGAGGACAGTTCTGTGCTGGGAGGGTCCCCTTGTCCCACAATCACCATTTTTTTTTTTTAAGATTTTATTTATTTATTTATTTGACAGAGAGAGACACAGCGAGAGAGGGAACACAAGCAGGGGGAGTGGGAGATGGAGAAGCAGGCTTCCCGCTGAGCAGGGAGCCTGATGCGGGGCTGGATCCCAGGACCCTGGGATCATGACCTGAGCTGAAGGCAGATGCTTAATGACTGAGCCACCCAGTCGCCCCCACAGTCACCATTTCTGCCTCTGATTCTTTTCCCCCTTCCAGGACTTCCGTTCACATCCTGCAATCTAAGCTGCCTGTGGCTGCCACCATCGCCACATCTCTTTCTTCATCTAGCTCTGAAGTCAGTCTTCTGGACAGTAAGAGCGGCTGGGAACTTTTAAGGAAGCTAGGTGGGGGTAAGGGCAGGGATCCCAGGGCTGGATGAGGCTGAATCTGAATGGTGTGTGGGTGTCTGCTGTCTAATTGTTTGGCACTGGGTAGATGGAATCTCCGCCTCTTCTTTTGGTGAATCCATCATCCTCTGTTATTACTTATCCCAAGTTAGGCCTGTCTATTCCTCCCCATCAGACAGGCCCAGGGCTTAGTTCTATGTGTATCATAGTGCTTGCTGATGGTTTGTTTTCTCTTCCTTTTCTCTCCTCTTAGATCTCCAGAGGAGCACACTTTCTAAACTGGAGCCCAGCAGCTTACAGCTCTAGGCCCAGAGCCTTGAGCAGGAGAATCTCTTCTTTAAGGGCCTCACAATGTTCCTGAGTGACCTGCAAGGACTTGAGAGAGTAGTTTTGCTCACCTTCCCCTCCAAGGCCCTGTTTCTGGGCCCCCTGCCCCTCTTTCTTGATCTAGTTGGTATCTGTCCTCCCTACTGAGGCTTGTCACTGCCTGCCCATCCCTGTCCACCAACTGCAATAAAATGTTTTAACCCTCCCTGATATCTTCTCTGAATCAGCACCTACATGGGATAGGCTTAACAGTACCTTTGCTGCCTCCTGTTACTTGACTGCTTCCTGCCATCTCTCTCTCTGAAATCCAAGTTCATAGATATTTATAGCTGTACCTTCTGAGTGCAAGCCCTGCGCTTAGTGGAACTTGGAAGAAGATGGGAGCTCCTGTTCTGGTGGGTAGAATGAGGTAGGACAGTGCTCTGGGGCAGTGTTGCTATGGGGATGCAGAGGAGAGTGAGGCATTCAGGTAGGCCCTGGACCTGAGTACTAGAAGGCTTCCTCTCCTCATCTTCAGCTTCTGCCTCTTAAGGCTTTCTCCAGTCCTGCCACACCACTTCATCCTCAGCAGCCCAACCCAGCTTGCATTTCTGTAGCAGTTTCCTGGTCTCTTTTCTTTCAGTTTCTGCCTCTAATCCAGTGGCTTTTAAAATTTTTTGACTGAGACCTCCAGTAAGAAATACAGTTTACATCGTGGTAAATATACGTTTATATATTTGTTAAATGATATATACATGTATATGTTTACTAAATCAAATTTCATGATTTGTTTTTTTAAAAGATTTTATTTATTTGAGAGAGAGAGAGAGAGCACGTGAGAACAGAGGGAAAAGGAGAAGCAGACCACCCGCTGAGCAGGGAGCCCGATGCAGGACTCGACCCCAGGACCCCGGGATCATGACCTCAGCGGAAGGCAGATGCTTAACCATCTGAGCCACCCAGGCGCCCCCAGATTTCATGATTTAATACTCATTGAATCACTAGAAGTGATGTACTCTGATATTTCCTATTATATTAAAAAAATAGGCCTTTTGGCTATTGGCTCTAATGCTTCCATCCCTTGGTTGGAAGTATATCTTTCTATGTAGACTAAGGGCTGCTTTACTTTCACCTTACCTAGATTTTTGTATTCTAGACAATGGAGTCCAAGATTTCCTTAGAAGCAGCAGCATCCCACTAAGATCTCATGAGGTCTCTTCCACTGCTAAATATAGACAAAGGATAGTGGATATTTACTGAGCATAATACATACCAGCCCTGGTATGTATTTGCCCTCAGCTAAGATGTGCAGTGGGCTCATAAGGGTCCCAGCTCTTAGCTCCATCTAGCTGGGAAGAGGAGACAATTATCTGAAATAAAAGCATGATAAAAGGCTAAAATGAGTAGGTAGGAACTACTTCTTGTTATGGGGTATATTCAAGGCCTTGGCCTAAGTAGCAGACAGGTCATGAAGAGTGGACCTTTGACACCTGAATAGCTGTAAGGCATTCCTTGGTTCTTTTCCCTCATTATTAAGGAGATTGCTGAGGGGCACCTGGATGGTTCAGTTGGTCAAGTGTCCAACTCTTTCTCATGATCTCAGGGTCATGGGATTAAGTGGGGAGTCTGCTTGAGATTCTCTCCCTCTCTCCCTACCTCCCCCCAAATCTCTCCCTCTCTTTCAAATAAACACATAAATCTTAAAAAAGAGATTGCCGAGAGTGGAATGGTAGAGATCAGACTTGGGTCAAACAGAACTTCTTCAAAAAATTAAGTACTTGCCATCAAGGCTCATCTTCCTACTCAAGGTACAAGTAATCCTTGTCTTTTACATATTTCAATGGGCAAATGATACATCTGGTATGATAGCATTATTGAATTCTACTTGGTACAAGTGCTGTACTTATTTATCAACTACTTTGCATCAGGCTTTGTGGGAGACAGGTTTTCAAGAGTGCCAGGGCTCTAACAGAAAAATTCAATAGCAATGTGGAACAATGGTATTTGAACTGTCACCAGGTGGCAGCACATTATGTATTGCCATAAGAATGATACAGGAAAGGCTTTGGGCCAATGGTACTGGGCTGGGGGATTTTTTTTCTCCTTTTGGAGATACTGTGAGCTACCAATTAATCTAACTAAAACTATCCTGTTAAGGCTACTCTGCTCAAGAACCTTTGACAGTTCTCACAGCATAAAATAGAAAGGACAAATTAGGCATTTAAGCCCACATTTAACCTCCATTGTTGTCTCCTATCACATATCTTTAAAATTTTTTTTATTTAAGTGTAGTTGACACACAATAATACATTAGTTTCAGGTGTACAATATAGTGATTGGACAAGTTTATACATTATGGTATGCTCACCACAAGTGTAGCTACGATCTGTTACCACACAATGCTAATATAATATCATCGACTACATACCTTATGCTGTGCCTTTTATTCTCATGATTTATTCATTCCATAACTGAAAGCCTGTCACTCCCCTTCACCCATTTTGTCCCTGTCCTCTCCAGCAACCATCAGTTTGTCCTCCATATGTAAACTCCATAACCAGGCTACAGGTCTGGTTATGCTTTTTGTTTGTTTATTCATTCGTTGTTTTTTAGATTCCACATATGAATGAAATCATATGTTTCTTAAACTTTATTGCCACAGGAATGTACACAACCTATACTCCTATTCAAATCCCACTCATCTGTCAAGACCTTTCCAGTAGGAGGCACGTCTAAAGATGTCTGAAAAGAGGTCTCTAATCCAAGGGAGTACTGGTGCAGGAAGGCCCATACTCCAGTGTTTCTTTGCCTGCTCTCGCCCTGGAAGCTCTCGCCCTGTTCCAATCTGCTCAGGCCTGAGATTATAAGCACCTGAAGTCCAGGTATATGGAAAGCATGAGGAAGGAAATATGTGCATGTTGGACAGAATTCTTATTCCCTATGCAGCTTTTTCAAAATTTTCAGTTTTCAAGCCAGCTCAAATGTTATCACCTCCAAGAAGCCTTCACCGAATTAAACCTCAGTCTAGATGAATAGCTGCCTCGGCATTTTAACCCTATCCATTGCTCTTAACCAAGAATAGTTTATGTATCAGTTTTTCCACTATACTTAGGTCCTGCAGGATTCTGCTTTCATATAGGTTTTCTTTATTCAGGTAGTCCTTACTTAGCTATACCCTTCACCAATCGAAAAGCCGCGTCAGTGGAATCCATTTTCTGTTGGTTTTATTAATTACCAATGATTGTTCCCTCTCGTGTTTATTGTCCCGCCCCCCGCACCCCCCTGCGCTGAGGCTTGGAACTTGGGTTTCCCCCAGGTGTATTCCCTCCTCCTTGGTTCCGCCTTCCCAACACACTGCCTCTTCTGTTTTTAACCTCCTCTTCCTTCCTATTGGTTCTCTTCGTCTTACAGTCTTCCAGAGTTGGCGCCTAGGGCTGTTGATTGGCTTTGCCGGACGCCTGTTGAGTCCACCCTCATACCACGTGGCATTCCTAATGCTAATTGGGTAATTCCACTAGCTCGTTTATCAAAGATTGACGGTTGATTGGCTGCTCGGAGGCTTGAGGAGAGGGGCGTGCTCACCTTAAGCCCCGCCCAGCTCCCGCAGGCTGGCTGGGCAGGCGTTTCAGTCGCTCGCGGCCGCGGAGCTCAGCGGAGTTTCCCCTTCCTTTTCTGGCTCGCGGTTGGGATCCTCCTGGCCCCGCCAAACGGACGGGGGGAACGGTCCCGACTGCGAGGCCATGGCAGTAGCCTCCTCGTCCTTCGCTGCCGCTAGTTCCGCCGAGTCGCCGGCCTCTGCGCGAGGGACCCCCACCACCTCCGCAGGCTAAGAGCCTCTGCCGCTTCCGAGCTGTGAGGGCTACTATGCTCCCACTTTGCTGCTGCCTCCGCCTCCCGCCCGCGCCGGCACCCCTCTGGCTGCTCAGTCCCGCCTCAGGTAACGCCAAGAGAGCGCATAGGGCACAAGCCCGGGGCGCCCCGGCCCGCGCGCGCGGCTCCTTACACCGCCGCGGCTCCGAGCATTGGCGCTAGGGTCTCTCAGCACCGACAGGACCCCTTCGCTTCCCACGGTCCTCCTCTGAGCGGCTGGGGGATACTCCTCGATCCCTTTCCCTTCCCTTTTCACTTTCCTCAGGGTCCCGGGACAGCCCCCACCCCTACCCCCGCTTCCTCGCCTCAGAGGCCGGGAACCCATTAGAAGCTCCTTCGTGTCAGGGACCTGGTCCTTGACTCTTCTCACGGACTTTTCTCACTTCAGACACTCAGGAAGCCCTCATTTTCTCGGAGAACACTTGTTTCAGATAGCTCCAACTCCACACAGAGCCTCCCTCGTCCCTCAGAGATCTGGACTCCTTCACTTTACTTCCCTCAAACCTCCTCTTACCTGGAAACTTTCCCCTTCTACGCTGAAGTACTCTGCCCTCACCTCCCACCCCTCCCCAAGACACTACCGCGTCCCTCTCTTTTCCCTCCTCCTGTCATCCTTATTCTCCCCATCCTTCCTTTTCCCTCTTCTGTCTTTTACACTTCACTTGGAAGACTCTGGACTAAGCCAGGATTTAGATTTAGCTAGAAATGAAACCCATGTTTGTCTGATTTAAAGACCTTTCCGTTTATAACTCTGAGAAAAGCTTGCTGAAGAATTTGGACTTTGCTCTATAGGTATGGGGAGCCACTGAAGGTTTTGTAAGCAGGAGTTTGGTATGATTGATTATCTCTGGTGAGCATGTGGAGGAAGAATTGAAAGTGCAGACAGTGTTGAGGCAGAAAGCCTAGGTAGGCAGGAAAGGAGTGCGCTAATCCAGGTCAGAGGGGATGAACTGGAATAGTGGTAGGAAAATGAAGAGGATGGCGAGCACCTCCAGGAGGTTTCAATTCCATGAAGTTTCCAGAGTTGAGAGGGTTAGTGGAGGTTTCTGACTTCGTTGGTGGGATGCATTGGTAGTGTTAATTGTAATAGGGAACACAAAGAAGCAGTTTTGAGGAAAGGTAATGAATTTCGTTTTGGACATACTTAATTTGAGGTGTTTTTCAGATATCACTGTGGTTTGCTGGAAATTTGGGTATGAAAATTGGGAGTGAGGTTGGAACTGAATACCTAAATTTGAGGGTCAACAGAGAATATAAAACAGGGATATTTGAAGATTTAGTATGGGATGGTAATACTGAAAGAGAAAAGGGCTGTGGGCCAGAAGGAACATCATTGTTTGAAGGGTAATAGACACTGAGAA